GTGTGTGTGTTTTGTAACGGGTAAAAAGAAAAAAAAAAAAAAAAAAAAAATTAAAATTAAACAAAAAAAAAAAAAAAAAAAAAAAAAAAAAAAAATTCAATCATAAAATGATGATGGTTTTCAATCGATGTCTTGTTTTGCTGTGTTGTTGTTGTTGTTCGGTTGTCAACCAATGTAAGTGAAAATTTTATGATTATCGATTATCGTTTGTTCAATATTTTGCTTGTTCAATATTTTTGTTTCGTTTGTTCGTATACGTATTCTGTTTGAAAATCTAATCTAATCTTTCTCGTTTTTGTTGCTGTTTGAAATGAATGGATTTCCATATTTGAATAATTTTTTCTTTCTGAATTTTTATCTTCTTTTGGCTGCTGCTGTAATAACAAAAAACCGGATATTTTGCTTTTGCTTCGTTTGTAAATCTGTAATATTATGATGTCATTTTTTTAGTAAAAAAAATTTGTTTTTTTTGCGTTTTTTAAAAAACAAAAATTTGTTCAAATTTGGAAATCTTTTTTTGAATTTTTTATCGACTTTTTTTTGTTCTCTGATCATTGATCGATTGATTGATTGATTTGATTCGAAGGATGATGAGCTTTGATCAATGTGAAAAAAAAAATCATTATCAAAATCATTTTATTTTTTTTCAAAAAACTTTGATAGGAAAATATAAAAATGGTGTGTGTGTCTTGTGTTTTGATTATCATTGACGTTTGTAATTTTTATCAATTTTGATTTTTGATTTTTGATTTTGATGATTACTGTCAACCAGAAATGACAAGAAATTTTTTTTTCTTTTTTTTTTTGGTTGAAAAATTCAATGTCCAATCGATCGATCGATCGATACTAAGGGTCAGGTCAGGTGTTTATTTGATCGATCGATCGATTATCCAAAAATCAAATATTTATTGAATCAAATGGCCAAGTGCAAAAGAAGAGAATGAACCAGAAAAGAAAAAAAAACCCAACAAGTTTTTTCAAATAAAAAAAAAGTTCAGGAAACATTTTTTTTGAAAAAAATGTAATGTAATTTGCGTCGTGTTTTTTTTTTTTGGTTGAATCAAGATAGAGAAACAAAAAATTGTAGCACACTTCATCGCACTGTACTTTTTTTTGTCGATCATAATCGATATATTTTGTCTTCGTTGTTGTTTAGTGTGACAATCAAATGAATTAAAGTCCAAAAAGTTTGTTTGTTTGTTTGTTTCTCTGTGTTTCTGTTTGATAATAATCAATTCTCATGTCAGTGCCAAATTACACTTAAATCACACACACACGAATAAGAAATTCTCATGGATTTTTTAATTTTTTGATTTTCTTTCGATGAAAATTGCAACATTTTTTTTCATTTACTTTGTATTATCCACGGGGAGAAAATCTGGAATCTAGAAAATCTTTCAATCAATCGATCGATTGATTGATTGATTTTGTATAACCTTGTTGCTCATTCTTGATTGGCAATAAATTTCAGGAAAAAGAGAAATTTTCTTTCATTTAATTTTCGGGTTCGACTTTGGATTGTCATATTATTTCTCCCTCTCTCTGTTTGAAAAATCAAAATCAATTTTTTTGAATGTTTCACATTCGAATGCCGGTTTTCATTTTATATCTTTTTTCTGACTGAAAATGTATTTGCGTCGAATCATCAAGAAGAATTGATTGAAATGATATTACACAACAATGCGGTGAATGTGTTTGTTCGGTTGACATTATCCACTGAAAAAAACAAAATCCCTTGCAATCAAATGAAATGCCAATTTTCTTCTATTCTTTTCTCTTCTTCTATATAGGAATAACAATAATTTCATTATCTAAAAAAAATGATAATAAAATTATTGCCAGCAGCAGCATCTTTTTTCTTCCAAAAAAAAACAAAACTTTCATTATTATATAAACCATTCGTTCATTCATTCATTGATTTAAATATTCTATATTTTCTATTCAGGATGCTACTACAACTGGATTTCTTTCGGGGAACGAAATAACGAACGATATATGAAGAAGAAAACCAAAAAAAACCAAACCAAACACACCATATTTACAGCTACCATTTCTTCTTAAAAAATATATACGAATTGAATATGATCGGCCGCTATTTTGCAACAGAAAAAAAAGAAACTTGAATATATATTGGTCGTCGTCTTGTGTTTTTTTAAAAAACCGAACATAGATATATAGAGTGTGTTTGTGTTTGTGTGTTTATATAGAAGTTTGGATATATATTCTTTCTTATCATCATCATTTATATATGTATGAAAGCAACCTGAATGTTTTTTGAATGAATGAAAAAAAGTTTTCCATTGATATTGATGTTGATTTTGTTGATGATGATTTTTGATATAAAAAGCATTCACAAATGGCTAGTATACCCGACACATACGCAATAATCAAATGAAATGAAATTTTTGTGTGTTTGTTTACCAAATTTTTCCTTTGATGATTGATTTATATTCTGAAGAAAGAAAGAAAATTATTGAAAAATTAAGATTTTTACGAAGAAAAAAAATTCAACTTTACTACCTTTGAAACAAACGAAATTTTGAATTTTTTGACCTGCTTTCTGATAAAGTTTTATTTTTTGTTTTTGTTTTTTCTCACCGATTTTGTTTTTTGATTTTTCTCATCGTGTATAATTCCCGATTTGATCGAATTTCTTTTCGGAATTCGATTCGTTTTTTTCAACATTTGTGATTAATTCTTGGCAATTTTGAATTTACAGATTTTTTTCTGCTGTAAATTTTTTCTTTATTCTTTTCACAATATTCAGCTGTAATAGCACCGAATTGATTATTATCTTATTGATATAGGTATCCCGGTAAGTCTTTTCATTTGAAACTCCAAAAAATATCAACATTTTTTTTTCAATCAATCAAAAATATTTATAGGAGATGAATACAAGCCTCAAAGGTCTAGTGCTGCTGCAAAAGTGTAACCAAAGGCTTCACGCTTCAAACCAGGTATGTTTTTTCTTTTAAATTAAAATTCTCTTGATTTCCCCCTCCGATCAATTTATTTTCTGTGAGAGAAAAAAAAAATCGATCGATCGATTTTTAATTCAAAGTTTGATTTGATTGATTTGTGAGTGACGACATAATTCAGCATGGTGAATTGTTTTTTTTTTTAATTTATTCAAATTGATTCGAGTGCCATCTTTTGGTCGCCGATAGAAATTAGAGATGCATTTTTTTTTTGTTTGAATAAAAAATTGGGAAAAATGCCAGAGCTAAACGACGATAATAGTGAAAGTCCAGAACGAAATTGAAATGAAGGTCATGATTCGACATTTAGAGAAGAAAAAAAAAGAAAATGAAATGAAAATCCTTGACTAAAACTACCAACCAACCACACAAACAAACAAACAAACAAGATAAATGTGCAAACAAAACAAAACAAGATTTATATCTTTTAATTTAATTTTTTTTTTTTTTGAAAAATTCCGGTGACATTAACCATATCCATAACGAAATCTTTAATCAATTTGGGTGGTATTTTTTTTCATTTCATTTCATTTCATTTTTTTTTACTGAATGAAATCCAAATTGAATTGGATGAATAGATTTCAGGCGATTAGTCAGAAATATTTTTGGCTAAAAAAATCATTGTCTGTGTGTGTTTTTGGATAATTTTTTTTTGCGGTTCGTTTGATCGGTCGGTCTGTTTGGTTTGGTCGATCGGTTGATTGATTGGTTGCCATGTGATGGCCAAATGTTGTAAAATGAAAGAAAGAAAATAATATTAAAAATACATCCAGTAACAGATCAAAAAAAGCGGAAAAAAAATTTTCCCCAAAAAAAGTTTATTTGCCATAAACGAAATGATATTCGCCATGACAACCAAAACGAACTAAACGCGATATATATAAGATTTTTTTTTTATATATTTTAATTTCTGTATCTGGATATGATAATTTAACGACGATTAAAATATTATAATTGTAAATTTGTTAAAAAAAAATTTACAAAGACAAGAAAAGAAAAAGTAATAAAAATTCCAATCATAATAACATTTTAGGTGATAACATTTAAAAAAAACAAATTAGTTTTTTGTTTTTAAAAAAGAATATTTTTTTCTCACCTAAATAATAATGTTTATTTTATTTATAATTTAATTATAAATTATAAATAATGATTATAATGATAATTAACTATTAAACAAAAAATTTTTTGATTTCCGTATCTGAATTTTAGGGCTTAAGCCAACAAGTGCACTGTTATTACCTATTGGTCGACGAATATTCACGACCATTATCGGTATTATCTGTAGTCGTTATTATTATTCAACAACCACAATTAAGACCACGAACAACAACAACAGAAACGGTTGAAGCATACGAATCACCAGCAGCAGCACAAGCAGCAGCATCTTATTTATCACTGGCATCTAAAACATCAACCAAAACAACATTTGTCGATAACGACAAAGAAAACGATAATTACGATAATCCTTATTATATTATGGTTTGTATTTCACATCAAGCATCACCAGGTAAGAAGAAAAAAAGAAAGTTTTCGGAAAACTTTTAAATTTTTCTGGTTTTTTTCCATTTCCGAAAATCTAGAATTGAAACAAATTGAATAAATCAAGAAACAAAACAAAAAATAGGAAAACCAAACGATTATTCAACGAAAACGATAACGAAATTTTTTTTAATTTGAAAAATTTGAAAATTTGAAAACAAGAAAAAAAGAAACCCTTTTGTGAATTTACTTTTATTTAAATGGACATTTCTTTTGATGATTTTGTTTGTTCTTTTTCTGGAAAACAACAACAACAACAACAACGACGACAAAAATCACAGGTAAATTTTCAATCGATTGATTAACTGTATTGATTTTGGTTTGATCGATTTTTTCTAAATTTTCGCACACTTCTCTATTTTTTTCCCCACAAAAAAAAAGATCAACGGATTAAGATCAAAAATTGAACCCAACCAAACAATAAAAAAATCGATAAAATTATCAAACCCAACGACAACGACAACAACAACAAAAAATGTAAGTATTAATGAAAATTGAGAATATCTTTTTGTCTGTGTGTCTATGTTTTTACATCTTGTGATAATTTTTTTTGTTTCCCCATACTGATGTTGATGATCATATTTCAATTATTTTGTTTGACAGTAGCTGAAAAACGACAAAAAAAAACCAGTGTTACATATAGATTGATAGATCAGTAACAAATATAGCAAAAAATGGAAAGCTGTAATTCACGACAAGGATTACTTATCAAATCATATTCAACAATAACTGCTAATGATGATGATGCTATTAATGTTAATATTGTTAATGTTGATGATGATGATGAATATCGATCACCAATAATCAATAATAATAATGTACCAAAAATTTATCTTGATGATTATGGTTCTACTAATATTACGAATAATGGTTGTATAACAACAACAACATCGACAATGACAACAACAACAACAAGTAATGGTATTGCTAAATTTTTTATTGGTGATGATGGTGATGAAAATTTATTAATAAATCAACAACAACAACAACAATTGAAACAACAACAACAACAACAACAAAAATTATTGACCAATTCTTATTCATTAACGAATGATGATGATGATGATTATGATATTTCTGATGATGATGATGATATAATGGCAACAACAACAACAACAACAAACCCAACAACAAAAACAATAAAACAATCAAATACTGAATCAACAATAATTATAATGGATCAATCACCAACACCATCACAATCATCTTGTTCACCAATATCAATGTCAATCGATCAATATGGTATGATTATGGTTAAAGGTAATCATTCAACAAAAATCAATAATGATGTTAATGATGATAATGATAACATGATAATCAATGATGAACGATTACATTTTCTAACAAATTGGTCGAATAATAATAATAATAATAATGGTTTTGGTCGAACAGATTTTTCAATAATCAATGGTGGCGGCGGTGGTGTTACAACAACATTAAACAATGATAAACATTTCAATAATGATGTTATTGATAAAAAACAAAATCATAATCATCATGGAATTGGATCAAGTTGGCAAATATTTATGGCAGTTATGATTGCAGCAAGTGGTAATTTTATTGCCGGTTTAATATTGGATAATAGTAAATCATGGAATGTTTTTATTTATACACCGGAATTATATTATCTAGTACCAATTTTGTTAAGTTTAAAAGGAAATCTTGAAATGACAATGGTTGCACGTTTAAGTACATTAGCCAATTTAGGAATGTTAAAAAGTTTAAATAATATTATAAAAATATTATTATATAATATTAGTTTGGTACAAACACAAGCAATTGTTGTATCATTTTTAGCATCAATTGTAACATTATTAGCATTAAAAATGGAAGGTGAAGAAAATATTGATTTACCATTATCATCATCATCATCATTACCATCATCATCATTATTAATCGATGAACAACAAATATCATCGATTATCCAAAATACAACAACAATGTCAACAATTGAACAATTACAAAATATACATGGTGATGGTACAGCATTAACACGTAAATGTTTACTTATATTTTCAACATCATTGGCAACAGCTAATATTGCATGTCTTTTATCAAGTGAGTTTTCTTCTTGATTTGATATTCATTTTTGATTTTTGATTTTTGATTTTTGAATTTTAGCTGTGATTATGATTACATTGACAGTTGCATTACATTATTGTCACGTGAATCCGGATAATTTTGTAACAGCATTAGCAGCATCATTCGGTGATATAATAACATCATTTTTAATCGGTGTTATTGGTGAATTTATAAATGAAAAAATAACATATCAACCATTAGATGATAATGCAACATTATTATTTGATTCTGTTCGTTATAATGATGATTTACAATCACCATTAATAGCAATATTAATTATAATATTATTTATTGCTATATTTCCATTATTGGCATGGTTTACATGTCGTGATGAATCGAATAAAAAAATTTTATTGGGTATGGGTGCATGGCTGCCAATATTATTATCAATGTTGATTGCATTTGTTTCTGGTTTTGTTTTACGTTTTGGTGCTGTTGCATTTAATTTTATGTCATTATTTCAACCACTTATTAATGGGTAATGTTCTGTTCTTTATTCTGTTTTGAATTCTGTAATTCATTTTTCGTTTTTTCCATTCAATAATAAAACAGTGTTGGTGGTAATCTGGCTGCTATTACAACAAGTCGTTATTCAACTGAATTACATAAACAAAAAGCTAAAGAAACAATTGTAAACAATATTGAACAACAAGAAAGATCAACAGAATTATCATCAATAACATCATCATTAAAATCAGTTATGTCTAATACAATGCATAGTTTTCTTCGTTTAAACGGTATTTTTTTTATAATTTTGTTTTGTAAATCTTTCATTCATTTAATTTCATTTCATTCAATTCAATTTTCTAGATAATCGTAATAAATTAATATTACTTTACATTTTAATGGCAATCGTTGTACATTTATTCTATGGAATATTAGCACCAATCATTCATACAACCGATCATCATCGTATTACATGGTTATTCTATATATTTTATATTCCGGCAACTATTTTACAGGTAATCAAAGGGTTAATTTGATTTTTGATAATCAAAGGGTTATAATTAATTTGTAATTTAATTGTTTTATTTAATTTTTTTTCAAAATAGGTTTTTCTATTATTAATATTAACAAGATTTTTTGTCGATTTTGTTTGGTGGTTAAAATGTGATCCAGATACAAGCGCAATACCAATATTAACATCAATGGGTGATATATTGGGAACTGTATTTCTTTATTGTGTTTTTATTTTGTTAAGATTAATTGGTGATCAATCATCTGAATCACCATTATATAATAATTTCGATAATAATAATGAAATTATTGATCAATTATCGATTGCAACAACAACAACAACAACAACAGCAATGCCTACCTTATACGAATTTATAACATCCGCAGCAACAACAACAATTAATGATCCAATTACAATGATAAATGATAATGAAATAATTAAAAATAATGTTACAGCATTTATTAGACATATAATGATGAATCAAATTGAAACAACAACAACCGCTGCTTCAGCAATCAATTTAACCATTTGATCCTACACATATTTGAACCTTTTTAATGATTGATTTTTTTTTTGTGATATTTAAGAAAGAAATGAAAACAAAAAACACGCGCCAATTCAGTGTTTGACGAATGAAATTTTCCACAATTTTCCCCTCCCCTTAACACCGCCACACCACCAAAAACAAACATTAATTTTTCAACACCTGATTCTCATCTAATCTAATCTTATGATAACAATGATTTTAGTATCCTGATTTCTAGTTAATTTAGTTTTGTTTGTTTGCTTTGTTTTTTTTCTTCTTCTAATTTTAGTTACACATTAAATGAATGCCTTTTTCTCTCTCGTTTAAATTAAACCAAAACACCAAAAACAAAAACACAAAAAGTTCCATACATTTTATATTTGATGATTATTATTATGATTATTATGATTTCCTTGAAAATCAAATCAAATTTTTCCCTTTTATTTTATTTTTAATAATAAAAAATTTTTATTTTTTCAATTAAAAAACCAAAAAAAAAAAATCTCAATTTGATTAGATTAAGTTGTCCAATGTACGCTGTCCGAAAACAAAAAATCCTGGCTCAGCTGCCAGAGGGTTAAATAATGTTTTGGGGCATCATGTTTTTCTATGTGTTTCAACAAGAAAAGAAACGAAAAAAAATGAGAATCCTGGTCCGCCACCATATTGGTAAAAGCGTTTTTTCGGTTGTTTTGTTTGGTAACCATCGATCGATAATCCTCTTAATATCTTTTGTTTTGTTTTGTTTATTTCATCAACAACAAAAACAAAACAAAAAACAACAAAGAGAATAATAGATCCAGGGCAATTTTTCAATTTATCAAATTCAAATTTATTTATTTATTGTTTTTTTCATATGTAAAACAATTTTCTTTACTTTTTTTTCTGGTTGAATTACAACAGTAACAACATGAATTAAAATCGATCATCGATCACATCGATGATGATAATGGTAGAAGAGGTGGAAACAACAACAACAACAACAACAACAAAATTCTCGATGATGGATCGATAATAACAATTGTAAAAAAGAACAACAAGGTTTTTGTTGTTGTTGTTTTTTAAACAACAAACAACAACAACAAAAATAAGGTTTTACAGGTCGATTTTCAAATGGATTTGTTCGGTTCGGTTTGTTATGTGCGTGTGTGTGTGTGTGTGATTCACATCATTTTTCTGTTTGTTTTGAATTGGTTTCGAATGTCCATTCCGTAAATAAAAATTGAAAACAAAAAAACATTATCATAGCCCCCCTCCAGTTTGAAAACATCGATCACCAATAAGGCAGGCAAGCAAAAAAAAATCAATTATGATCGGGGTTTGTTGAAAGATTTAAGTTTTCCACCATCCACCGATAGCCCAACCATCACCAATAAAAAAAAATCCATCGGTTTTTTTCCTTTCTTTGTTGTTGTTGTTGTTGTTTTACTTGAAAGATCTAAAAAAGTATGATGGGAAATATATCACATGATGACTATGATAATGATAACAACAATGAAAATGATCCAGATGAATGAAAGCAAGAATGATGTCATTCTAGAAAATGGAAATAAGGCAAAAAGAAAAGAAGAAGGAAGGGAGAAAGTAGAAAAGAAAAGTAAGGAGGGGAAAAAACCATTGACCAACCCATTAGGAAATGGAAATTTAGATTTTTTTTTTGTTTTGGTACAAAAATTTCATGTTTTTTTCATGTTTTGTTTTTTTTTTGCTTTAGAGTTTTTACTGTACTCGTTAAATCATCATAATCATCATTTTAGAAAAAAAACATTTCAATTAATTTTAATTTTGAAGGACAGATAAGATTTACGTTATCGTTTTAAAACGGTAACAACAACAACAACGGTAACGGTAAAAATCATTTATCAATGTCTATGTCTATGTGCAATGTTTTTTTTTTGGTTGTTTAGCTGATTGGCAATCATCATTTTAATGATGAAAATCTTGATGATCAATCAATAATATCGATCATCAACAAAATAATAATAAAATTATAGTAAAAATTAGAATACAGATTGCAAAATCAGTTGGAAATTTTTTCATTTCATTATTATTATCATTTGTAACTAACAAACAAACAATACTACTACATACTTGAAACATTGGAAAATTGAAAATTTTTTTTCTTGATTGTTTTTCTGTGTTTCTGGAGTACTATCCAGAAAAAAAAATTGGCATTGGTGGTGGAAGATGTTCTTTTGTCTTTTGTTTCTGGCTATAAAAAGGCAAAACATTTTTTTTGTTTCATTTGTTTGTTTTAAATATTTAAAATTTCGCTCTCTTCGTGTATCTTCCAATATCGATTCTTGTTTTTCGTTTCTCGCTTGGTCTTTTTCAAAATGATGAAAAAATATTTTCTATTAACAACCATAATAGCCATAATGGCCATTATAATTAAAATTGATCAAACATCAGCCGAATGTTGTTATTATACATTTAATTGTTTTAAACCGGATGATCATAAAGTAAATCGTTGTGCTGATTGTGAAGAAGCTAATGTTTATTGTGGTTATGGTTCATGTAATATATTCGGTTGTAATTGTGATGGTGGTTGTCGAAAAGGTAATCCAACATTATGGTGTTGGAATAAAGTATTCTGTGAAAATGTTAATAAATCATTAACAATTGATACATCATCGATGATGAATTTCAATGCTGAAAATTACAATGAAAATATATTGAATTTATTTGAAAATCATGACCAAAATAATGATAAAATGTTGGATCGTATTGAATTTGAACAATTAATTGGTAATAATAATATTGAACAACAACAACAACAATCCATCAATATCGACAATGAATTTACAAAATTAGATAAAGATGGTAATAATTTTATTACATTAAATGAAATTGATCCTGATTTTTGATAAACTAATTTGATTATGATTTGAATAAAAAATTTGATTTGCAAAAATTTTCTAAAATTCTGTATTTTTAATATGAATAAAGAAAAAGACAAAAAAGTCATCAGATTGGGCATGTTGTAATCATTTATTCAAATATCGTATTGACATTTTTGATTATCTAATAAAATAGAAAAGAATCTTTCCGGGAAATCTTTCCCGGAAATTTTCCTTTTGTCTTTCTTTTGAATTGTCTTCATCATCGTCGTCGTCTTCCTGAATAATAATGATGAAAATCTTGTGCCTTTATAATTGGCTCGATTCTCAATGGCTTGCAGCCAGACGTTTCTTTTTTCGTTTTCTTTCTTTGTTTTTGTTTTGCATCGCATCGCATTTCAAGTGTGTTTTGTGTAAATTAAATCAAATTTTAATTCGTTGGCAAAATAATAATAATAATGGGGAAAGGAAGCAAAAGTTTCATTTGATTGATTCAAAATTCATTGAAAAATCAGGCAAGCAAGCAAGCAAATTCAATTGAAACAAATAATAAATACCGTTTCAGCTGCACCAGATTCGATGTCGGTGTTCAGATTGTTCAAGATTCAAAATTTTGCTTGGTTGTTTGGTTCGGTTTTGAGTTTTTCATTCCTCTAAACGCAAAAGTTAGGCCAAGATGAGCGTGTTTTATTTTTCATTGAATTATTTTTTGTGAATTTTGATGAAATTTTTTTTTTCATCAAAATCATCATCATCATTATTTGTCATTTGGATTTTTTTTTCGTGAATAAAATATTGATGTACGGTGTGTGATGCACAAAGAAGAAGATAGGTAAAATAACCAAAACAGATCATCATCGGCATAACTTTTGCTCTAGGGAATTTTTTCTGGAATGTTTTTTCTGGATGTTTTGTTTTGAATCTTGAAAATGTTTCCCAGGATCGATTGAAGTGACCATAATCCTATGCTGCGAAAAAGAAAGAAGAAAAGGGGGAAAATAGGGCGGAAAGCAAAGGTTTGGCTGGGAAATCTTTTGGGAAATGTAAATTTTCTGTAAATTTTTCCTTTGTCTATGTGATTAGTCATCATGTCAAAACAAGGCAAAACAAGGCAAAAAAAAATTGATTCATTTTGGCTGTCAGACAACAGGAAAAATTATCATTTTTTTTTGATTTCTAATTAAACTAATTAAAACATTTGTTTGGCAAAAATGAATGAATCACACTTCATTCACTTTCTGAAAGCCACAGAATTTATATACATTCTGGAAATTTTCCTGGTTTTTCTTGGTGACCAAAATTGTGTGTGACATATTTGCCTGTAATGAATGACTAACTAACTGACTGACTAAATGTTTGATAAATGTTTCTGTTGTCTGTGTGGTGTGTAACTGTGAGAATCTTTTTTTTTTTTGGCAATTCTAGCTAGCGAGAAAAAAAACGCATTAGTTTAATTATAATAATTCTGCTGATAAAATTTATCTGAAATTCGAAAAAAAATTGAATATTGAGTTTTGTTTTCGTTCGTTGCTTCAATTGAAAAAAAAACTTGGAAACTTTCTGGGAAAAAAAATTTCCTGGAAAAAAAATGTAAATTACAATGACACCATCATCATCATCACACACACACAGTCATCTTGAGCCTAGAAATGTTTTTACCGAAAGAATTTAACGAAAAAAAAAAAAAAAAAAATTCTTTAAACATTCTGTGCACACAAACACACACACAAACAGACATCCATCAAGGTTTTTTTTAAACAAAAAACCGAAAACAACCGAAAAGTTGGTCCAGTTTTATCAGCAACAACAACATCAACATAATGATTTCTTTTTTTTGTAAAAAAACGTGAAACCATTTTTCAATATGTTCTACCTTTCCTTTCGTTCTTTCTGTTTTTTTTCAGCGTTAAATAAATCGATGAAAGCTGTTGTCAAAAAACTTGGATGCAAAAACAGGACCATTTTCACATTATCATCATCATCATGATCATCACGTGGAAATAGTTATTTTGGAGAATGATGGTAGAAAATTGTTTCAATTCGAAGGTTATATGAATCAATTCTATTTTGAACAAGGATGAAAAGAAAAGAAGAAAAGAAAGATAATCTAGCTGTCAAAAAAAGATGAAACACTTAACCGAAGAGCTATAACCATTATCATCATCATCATCATCATTTTGTTCGTTTATGAATCAATTTTACATTCTGTTTTTTCGGGAAAATTTCCCGAAAAAACAAAACAAACAAACTATAACCATTTAGGTATAATGTAATTTGTTTTTAATGGGAGGAAGGAGAAAGAGAAGGGGAAAAAAAGCAAGGGAAAAGAGCGAGGGAAAATTATTTTAAATTTTTTTTACAAAAAAGCAAACAAACATAGGTAGCTGCATTTATATTGTGTGTGTTTTTGATATGAAAGCATAGCTTTGATAAGATGGGAAGTTGATATCAAAAAAGAAAGAAGCGAAACGAATGAACAATTTTAAAATTTTAAAATTTAAAAATTTTTCTGTTTCGCATTCAAATTACCATAATGATTTTCTATTTTGATTCGATTTTCGATCAAATTTTCTGTTGCTGCTGCTGCTGTTCAATCGATTGATCAATCAGCCAGCCAGCCAAAAAATCATTATCGATAATTAAATCGAATCATAATCAATATGGTTGATTTTTCTTTTTTGTTTGTTTCTGATCATCATCTCTTACCCATCTTGCCAGAACTTTGCTCCATAAATAATTAAAGAAAAAAAAATTTTGATTTTTGATTTTTAATTAATTAAAATTGATTGATTGGATATCGATAAGCAACATGCAGACCAACAAACAAAATGATTTAAAAAAAAAGAAAAACTTACCAATGTCAATTTGATTTGATTTGATTGATTCGATTTGGGTTGATTTTTGATAACTGCAGCTGCCATCATCATCAACATCATTGTATTGTCATTATCATCATCAACGACAACATTATCGAATGTAACTTGTCAACAATCGAGAAAAAAGAAACAGAGGAAAAAAAGCAAAAAAACAGAGGAAAAAAAGCAAAAAATCAATAGCTGTCAGCAGAAAAACAAAGAAAATGGAAAGCAAATGAAAGCATCTTGATCATTTTGATCATCAAATAATATATTTTATTTCCTAGGTACATTATTTATTTTGGTTTTTGTTTTTGGGCCAAAAAAACGAAGAAAAACAAAAGAATTTATAATGATAATGATGACGACGGTGAAGACGGTAGATAATCAATAATGGATAAGATGTTTATTACGAAACTGAAATAGATCCCGAAACAAGAATAATTCCTTCGTTAATAACCAAATTGGATGATGATAATAATGATGATGAAATGAGGATGATGAAAGAAAATGTCAAAAAAGAAAGAAAGAAAGAAGAAAATTGGAAAAATGGCGAAACACTTTAACCACTAACACTAACATCATCCATACATTATTCTGATGATGATTATCAGATCGATCCAAAAGTCAGCCATTTTCTTTTTGGATGTTATGAGGGAAAAAAATGGTCCAAATCAATACAAAGATAATCCATGAAATAATCGTCATTTTAAAGCAGAAAAATTGTTAAAAAAATTTCAAATTTTTTTTTTATATTTTTTGAAATTGAATTTTAAATAGGAAAAAAAAACATGGGGAAAAATGGGCAAAATGAACAAACAAACTTATCAATGGATTGTAAAAGCAAACAACTACAAAGAAGGAACAAAAATTGAATGGAATTGAATCGAAATCCAGAACAAACAAAACTGACAAACACACAAATGCCAATTGGCTGCTGTTTGTTTGTTGTTTGTTGAAACAAATTCCATAAGGAATTTGTCGAAAAAATATTCAATATTCTTATAGGGAAGAATATTCTTTTTTCGTTTATAAATAAAAAAGTCAAGCATTGAATTTGAATGAATAGAAAAAAAGGGGAGGAGTGGAAATTCCTGGATCATCATCATCATTATTGATTATCTTCAACAACAACAGCAGCAGCAGAAAAAGAAGGATTCATCCAGGTAACATAATGAGATTAAAATATTATGAACATCATGTTTTATCAAATGTAACAACCAAAAAAAAAATTACCTTTTTTTTCTCTATAAAAAACATTTGATTGACACATAGGTATGATTTCGGTATTTTCAATTTTGATTTTTGACATGAGAAAATTTGTTGGTTGTCGATAATGTGACGTTTTGTATGTTGTGTGTGTGTGCGAAGAAACACCGAAAAGAACATTTTGTTTTTTTTTTGAACATTTTTTAAAAGCCAGCAAAAACTTTCGAAAACAGAGAAAACTTTCACCAAACGAAACTGAAATTTCGACTGAATAAAAAGAATTTTGGATTCTGGTTTTCTTTTCTATTTTTTTTCGATCAAAATCGTACCTGGAATATTCTTGGTCGACAAATGCGCATGAATCATCATCACACAGCACATTTGAACCAGAATTTGGTTTGAAAATGGAAATTTTTTTTTTTGGTAAACGAAGAGTTTGCGTACAAATCTTGATTCTGTTTTCTTTTTCCAGATTTAGATTCTTGTTGTGTGTTTTTTTTATTCCAGTTAAAAAACAAAGATTTTTTTTTATTTCAAAATTTCTATCATTGAACTTTTTCAAATGAAAACAAAAAACCTGAAAAAAACCAAATTTCAAAAGAGTCAAAAACAAAAGAAGAATTAAAAAGAAATTCTTCAATCTTTCAACCGGAATAATCTTGATTTTTTTTGGCCATGGCCAGCAGCCAATAATAATCCTATTTTCAGCCATCCAGCCAGCCATCTACAAACAAAATTCTGTGGAATTTTTAATTTTTTTTTTGTAATTTTGTTTTTTTACAAAAATGAAAATTACAAACAAAAAAAAATCTACTGCATGAATAAATATTTGATTTTAATTAAAGTTTTTTTTTTTGGTTTTACTTTTGGTTTTTTAAAATTTTTTTGACATTTTTTTTTCCAGGAAGCCAACCACAAAGAAGAAATTTGAATGTCAATATCGTTCGTTGATGATGAGGGGAATTTGTCATGTGACTATGATGATTATGTCAGCCTAATGAAATGCTATTAATCCACCCACACACACACTTGATGGAAAATTTTCCGAAAAAATTTGAAAATTTTCAAATTTTTTTTTATTTTTAGAAATTTTTAATGAATGAACAAAAACAACCTGAACAAAATATACCTGGATGAAACAAAAAATTTTTCGAAATGTTTTTCACTTCTTCTTTTGTCCTCATCATCATTATTTGAGAATTAATGTTGTTTTTGTTTGGTAATTTTGGACAGAAAAAATAAAGTTAACTTTTTTTTGATTGTTTTTTTTTCTGGAAAAATTTTCAAAAAAAACAACTGAAAAATGAATTTTCGTTGTTTTTGCCACAAAAAATGAACATTGTTTTGACAATTTAATTATGTATTTTTGTGATTCATCTTTGCTGCTGCTGCTGTTTTGGATGAAAAACATTATGGTGTAAATTGTGTGTTTTTTGCATAATGCTTACATCATCATCAATGTTTTTGTTTGAATTTTTTCAAATTTTCAAATTTTCAAGTAAAGAATTGTTGTAATTATTTTAACATTCAGTGTGTGCTAACGTGTTAATAATAATGCTGGTGAAATTAGTTTTTTTTTGTTTGAAAAAAAGTTTTCTGGTCTGCATTTTTTTTTGGTCTACTTCTTCAAAAATGATTTTTTTTTTTTTTTTGAAAAAAATGAAACTTTTAAACTTTTTTCGGTTCGGTTCTGTTGTTGTCATTTTTTCTTTTCATTGACTTTTCTTTTGATTGTTTTTCATTGGTGAAATGAAAAAAAGTGTGAAAAAATGTATGAAATGAAATGAATAATTTAATCGGAAATTCAATCGATTTTTCATTACCGACTGTGTGTGTGTGTTTACCAACTTGTTTACTTGTTTGAACTTGTATCGAACAATCATCAATCATTTCTTGATTCAAAGAAAAAAAATACCGCAGAAATGAAAAAAATGGCAGCTCTGGTTGTCCGAAAAGTTCCTGAAAACAAACCAAACCAAACGAAAAAGAAAATCTGGTTCAAATTCTATAGCCAGAAAAAAAAATTATAGTTTTTCAATTCGTGCCTTACCTGAACCTTAAATTATCATTACCTTACCTGAAATAAATAAATAAATAAATATTTTTTGGGCTACTGGATAGTAATGGATCATTAAATTTCTGACCACCACCACCACCACAACCATTACTGTCCCATACCTGTCATCAATTTTTTCAATTTTCATTGAACTATTTCGATCGAAATGTGATATGGTTTTCGGTTTGCGTGTGTTGAAATGGGCAAAAAAAAAACAGAAGAAACAGAAGAACGAGAGAAAAATCACGGATCATTTATCACTTTATAGATTAAAATAGTGTTTGAAGAAAAGAAAAAAAAACAGTATCTGCCGAATGGGATGTTTTCTTCTCTGTGTTTTTTCTGAATATCCGATCAGGTCAAGGGTATTATGATTATGAAAAAAATTTTCCAAAAAAAACTTGTTGCCCGTATAATATGATTATATGGATAAGGTGCGTTTAGGTCATGAATTTTCTTTAACCCCCAACATCCCCCACCACCACCATAATAACCATAATAATGATGATGATCATTACCTGGATCAATTTTACTTCGCTGTTGTTGTTTAGGAATTTCTTTCAATGTTTTTTTTCCTTTGTTTGTGGATCATTTATTTTATTTCATTTTCCCAGCAGCAGCAGCAGAATAATGGAAACCGAAAAATTCAAAAAAAAAAAAAAATCCGATTCTCAAATGATGATGAATCTCGAGCGAAAAGCGAAAAAAAACAACCACATAAATGATTCATATGGAACATTTTGAAATTTTTTCTCGTTGTGTGTTTGAACAGCAACAACAAAAAAAACGTGCCATAAAACTACCATCATCATCATCATGAAGATGATGATCATCAAAAGAATTGAATAATGTTGTTGTTGAAAAAACGAAAAAACGAAAAATGTTAAATTGAAAATTGAAAATGCACAGAAGAAAAAAATCATTCATTCATTCATTTTCTGAGTACATCTTCTTCTTCGCTGTCGTTGACTTTTTTTTCGATTAGTTATTTTTATTATTATTATTATTAATATCTATTATTTACAGACCAAAGAGAGAGAGAGAGAGAGAGAGAGAGAGAGAGAGAGAGAGAGAGAG